TTATGTTATTCTGAAAATTCTCCCTTTTTATATCGAAGGATAAGGATATACGTGTGCTACTATCAGGCAGGCAGGCAAGCAGGCTGGACGGGTTTTTCTATGGATGGGATGGCACTCACAGCTGCACCTTGAGTCCCCGAGTAGCAGCAAACACCGTTTTGACAGTCCGCCCTCGGCGCTACTACTTTGATTCATCTTGCTTCCGCTTTCCAAGTCTTGGTTACTAGCGTGTGATAACCTCCCTTCGTGTGGTCCTTTTATCCTGTGGTAGCCCATGATCAGCTTCACAGCGCCGAATCACCTTGTCTTAGCCTGCCAATCCTTGCGTTTCCTCGTGTGACAGTCGCAACCACAATAAGTATGTAATGGAGAACTTTTTAACTGCCTATGAATACTATAGAGGGGCGAGAGGGCTGAACGCGTTGAGGTATCGGTTGTCATTTTCGAAGTATGTTCCATTGTCTAAGATACGCCTAGCATGTTAGTTCTCGTCCCCTGCCACGTCAAGGTTTAACTACGAAACGGACACATAGCTCACTGGCAGTTAATTATTACTTTCTCACACTAAGCCTCTGACAGCGCCGAGCGTTCTACATCCTCAACCCTCTCCCTTATGCAGATTTTTAATTGACTGTTTAAACTGTCGTCAGTCACTTGTCATTTATACTGCTATACAGACCTGATGATGAATAAGCTACACCTTCGTATGCAGAGCTGACTACTTAAATATACATGATTATGAGAATAGCGTACACAACTTCATCTCCATTTGAGGACCGCTGGACAAATTCCCGTTAACCATGGATTTAAGGGTATCCTTAAAAGAGGGCGTTGATAGATGAAGAACTGACGCGATATCACAGGTGGCGGTATATATTAAAGGATTCGCACAGATTTTTAGGCCTGAAAAGTTTATACAACGCACTGCAGAAACAGCAACTAATTTTCATCTCTAAAAGCAAGTCGAAGTAGCAGCCAATACTCTATGACTTAGCTAATGCCTTGGGAAGATTTCTCCGCATTTGATATTTTCTATTTAAAAAATATCATGACGCCGAGAGTAGCGACGAATTAGCCAGAGAATCTCTGGAAGCCTGGCATGCCGCACTTACTTCCACTGTACTTTTTTCTCGGCGGCTTATCAGGCCCTACGAATGCAGCTTGATCAAGGAAATCGCCGGCAGGAATTCCAACTGGTCCTGATCACAGGCAACCTAAAACCGAGCCAAGATAATGACGTGCGTAAACGTATATCAGGCACCGAAGCTGGCGTTGAAATAACAACTGCGGGGAATGCCAACCAGCAATTTCGATAGGAGCGTAGATAATAAGTACGATGCGGCAACTACCGACAAGACAAGCACGGAGAGACGAGACAGGTCTTAAACAACGAGGGTGGTCAATGTCCGTTGCCATCACGAGACGCCCCCTTTGGCGAGATGTAGGAGAGAGTGTGGTAAGTTTTATTTTGAAAGTTACCCATGATCGTAAATGACTACAATCTTCGACGCTGTGGATAAATGCCCCTGGAAAATTCGTCACATTTAGACCAAATTGGAAGGGACTCCAAACAGCGCTAGCGCTTTGCCCTGTGCCCTCATGACCTCATGGTACTTGAAGTAAACAACGAGGGATAAAACTCGATTTATAATGGGCAAATTAGGGCAGCTGATGTGTATATGAGAAAAGTAACATGTTAATGGATCGAGGGTAAAAATGGCGGCACAGATTGGAAAGCCCGCACAACTTCTGACCAGCAGGACCGCTATTGTCATCCTCCGTCATACATTCCGTACAAATAGAGGTAGAAATAGCAGAGTGCAAGCAGATTCGAAATGCATTAGTAGTGTGAGGTACCCTACAGAAACTACCTGCGACGATGGAAGCCTGTAGGCTTTTGAAACGTCAGGATACTAAACCTATTGTTGCGGTGATTGCCTCCTCTTCCTATTTATGCCCACAGAGGCTCTCTTTCGGTTCAACGGACAAAATGTTCGGGCACTAAGCGATAGAGTCAACAAGACGATGGTACATATTTGCCCTTCGTGTGTAATCAACTTGCGCAGAAGTCGAATTCCTCTACAGATACGTAGACAATGGCTAGCTACGGGAGAAATTGTTTTACAAGCCGCCCATGAACTGTGGGGTAGCGAGAAAACGAAAGTTACAAAATGGCAGGTGAATGACCCATGCAGTTATTCAGGCCCGTTATTTGCGGCTGCAGAAATGCCGCAGAGCATTGAATCAGAGGAAACAAAGCACCTCATCCTACAACAGGGTAAGTCTCAAGTTCTTATGCACAAACCGCTTGTGTCAATTCTGAGAGCGCGTCAGGGATGCCATCAGAACACTGAATGCTTCCAAGAGCATCCTGTCAGCTGAAAGGGTCCTTTCACAGTGGTACTCAGTAAGCTCTGCTCAATTATCATCATGCCTACCACCGGAAGCTCGAGTGCGAGCACTAATGGCAACATGGACAGACGATCGTGTCTTCTATCAGACCGGTGTAGACGTATCTGCTACTGTATATCCTCGATCTAATATTAAGAGGCCTGCAAGCTCGAGAGCTCAATGGTTAAGGCGTTCTCCTCTGGCCGGACGGACGCGAGTTCGAAACTTGATTGTGGCAGCAATTTCAGCAGCAGCACTGGAGTTGAGCATTACTACTTAACGACGACAAATAAGCCAGAAATGGCCATCTTAATGTCCAATATCGGGAATGTCCTTCACCCTTACTGAGGTCTCACATCCTATCTTCCAGCACTCAGCCTGGATTGAAGGTCGTAGACTCTAGAGCCGAGGTCGGCAACCAGGTGTGGCTCTTTTGATGATTGCATATGGCTCTCTCAGGTTCCCGGCCACTGGTCTGGGATTTTGCCTTAATAACTTAAGCCGCCTGCCACCCCGTTAGCACTGCACCGCCACGTACTACCACCCCGCTGCTCTAGAGCGGGAAAATTCTCGTTAAGTATTCCTTGTAGGGTCTTCGATATTAACTTATGTATTATATCCACGTACTTACCAATTTTAAGTAGGTTGAATTATCCTTAATCTTTAAGTTTTCTTACCACCGGCCGCCGACCATGTAGGGATTGGATGGTGACATTGAACAACACATGGGTCCTCCGAAGGCTTCCATATACAATAACCGTCGAATAAAGTATATTAAGCAAAATGACTTTCCAAATTATTTACGGGAATGGTCGTTTACTTATAAATTTTAAGTAGGGTGAATTTCACATTCCTCAAACTTCTTCAATCATTCGTCTTAACTCTGGTTGGGGTGAATGGTACTATTGGAAAATGTTCCAGAAGGACCCCCTCCGGTGTTAGGGCACACGCCTCCAATACACACGCGGTTTGTGAACACTTGCTGCTTCCGGCCTCTGGAATAGCCAATCACAGGCCGACTCAAACAGGACCTCATGTGACGTCTGCCTAGGAGAAATCACGGTTTTGCGGTCCGAAGACCGA